TGCTGGTGCTCCTCGCCCTGCTCCGAGGGGTAGCTGGGGAACGTCTGCGCCCGCGACACCTTCGCCGAGCTGAGGCCGTGACCTGCGCAGCGGGGACAGGGACACAAAAAGCGTAACCGGGCTTTAAATCAATTAAAGTGTACTTGAGGTCTTTCACCGTGGATGTGGACTCCCACGGGCTGACTTTGTACCACCCCGTTGTGGCACAGTGCCCGGAGAGATGTGCCACATTGGGCTCTGCCAGGGGTGCAGAGCAGGGTTTTGCCCATGCCCGAGGCAGGAGCAGGCGATGGATGTCCATCAGAAGCAGAAGGTCCCAGACCCACCTCAGTCATTATTTAAGGTCAGAATTATCTTTCTTTTTTTCTTTTTTTTTTTTAATTTTTTTTAATTGCAGAATTTAATATCTATATATTTCCCTCCCTATAAATCTCAGTTATATTTGTTAGAGCTGATGAAGAACTAATGCACTTATTTACCTGAAGCACTGGTTAAGTGGTGGAAGTAACATCAGTGGTTTCAAAGGGATTTGTCACACAAATGCCACTTCATGTACTTACTGTCTTTCGAATAGGATGCCAGTTTGTCAGGTACACACAGTATCATTGTCATTTCGAAATGAACTTTAGGTGGGATATGGCCACGTGGCAGAACACTGGTTGGGAAGAGGATGTGTGAGATCTTTCCTCAGACAGGCCTGTGAATCTCATATAACCACGGCTTCTTCACTAGCAGCCAGTGAGATGGGAAACCATGTGTGAAAAGCCATTAAAAAGCCAACGACCAAATTTAGAAGATGACTCCTATGGCCCGATTCTGTATCCCAATGATCCTCTTTGAAAATTCCTCTTTGAAATTGAGATTTAATTAGTAACAAAAAATTAAGTTCCAAAGTGCGTATCTTCATGCAACATAGATTCTCCATTTTTTGGAAATGTATATTGAAGCCTGGATTTAAAACGGTTTTGGATAATGCTTTTAAAAATGTCTTTAATACATGTATCATATGTAGAAATGCAAAATCTTATCTTTTCTTCAACCGCAGAGCTATTAAAGAATAACAGAGTATAGAATCAATCGCTGAAGAACTCAGCTCACATTGAGATGTTTCAAAAGAGCTAGCAGCTTTCTAGACTGCCCCACTAGTGCTGGATCCAAGAATTAATGTTGACCGGATTTGGCAAAACTTTGTCTTAACTTGTATTCAGAAAAGTTTGGCTATAAAATGTTATTGACTGCTTCATGAAAAAAAATCGTGATCCCCTGAAGATGAGTATATCAGAGCAATACTGGGACAAAGAGAGAAAAAAACCCAACTAAACGAAAAATAGAATAAAAGGTACATCTCAGTGACGCTGGAGACAATAAAAAGAGACTGAATTCCCAGTGGCAGGTTAATGGTCATAAAAATCCCTTTCATAGCACAACCAAGCAGGATGAATTTTGCATGTGTATTTTTACTATACATTCACTGGGTTAAATTGACATTGGCTGCCATCTCTAACTGAGATGACATTGGCTACCATCTCTGACTGAGATGCCAGGTTTAAATGTTTTCTGCTTCAAGAAGCTTTTGCATCAAACTGAATTAAAACGTATGGTGGCTGTAACGTCTGAGCTGCAAAGCAAAAGCACTGATAATACGCTGTTTGAGAATAGTCTTAAATGTTTTACTGCTTTGACCAACTTTTAACCATGACATTAATTGAAGCCTTTATACATTTCTACTTTTATTTAGGATTTGCATCACAATTACTGTTAGATTTTTTTTTTTTTAATTTAATGCAAGCCTAAACATAGAAAGTTGCATGACTTTAGGTTTTAATTTTGTGTTCCATATCTGGCATTTTTCCTTCTAAGGATATAAGGTCCTGTTTTCTTTTTACCCAGAAGATAGAATCATATATATTTTAAGGGCCATATGGAACTGCTAATCCAGCCATGTGACTGGCTATGTAAAAAATTTCTCTTTCTTACCAATAAAGATAAATAAAATATGCCAAAGTACCATTTTCCTCCATTCTTTTTATGTATTTTATCCAAAAAATGTAAACCACACTAATAGTCCCTGTGACAATGAGCAGGAGTAAAGACACTTGCCAACCAAGGGAGTTCCCTAAACTCAGGCCTATTTGTATCATGTGCTGTATCTCATATAATTAATTTCAAATTCACTTCTCTAGACCAGTGCAGCTTTAATGCAGTGATGAAGAGTGCTCCTACTAAATTAATTTGCAGCCAAGGTATCAAGGCAGTGTCTTAGAATATAGAAGAGGAATTTGAAGCTATTAAGGTTATAAAGGAAATTAAATTCAGATCTTCCATTTCCTGGATGTGTGCCTCGGCTGCTAGCACATCCCTTACGGCTCTTTAAAAGAAAATTTGTAGCTGCTAAATCTCACAATGGGCTTGATTTTAGTCATTCTGTAACCAAAGGGGTTAATGAGGATAAGTGACTTCTTCCCTGACTGATATGTAGTCAGAGATTGAGAGAGACAGTCTCAGATCCAAAAGATTAAAAGACACACTCAACAGAACCAGGCTCTAAGCCTGGTTGAGGCTCAAGATGAACAGAATGACATCAGTCTATGGCAATAATAACAAAAAGAATAGAGGATGTTGGTTCAAATGAAAAGAGAAAGCTACGGATAACAGAGAATTTGTAAGTCTAGGAAAGAATGGCTCTATGCAATATATTTACTTTCAACTTATTTTTTTAAAAACAATAATCTATGTTAACATATTTTAATAAAATGAATCAAAAAATAATGTAGTAAAATAATGAAATTGTCCGATGTTTCCAAGTTGGCTTACGACTTCTAAGTTCTAAATTTCCAAAATTTAGGGGTTTGTTCTTTTTTTTTTTCTAAAAAAAAAAAATAGTCTATCTTGTACTGGAAATTCTAAATTATAATCTATTATTTTATTTGCACTCTTAATAAATTTTATTTTAATACTCATACTGCTGATCAGCCTTATGGAGTCTTAGGTGCTGCAGTGTATCCACACTTACACTTTATGTCAGCAGATTTTGAAACTAAAGATACTGGAAAAGTTTTTGCAGTAAAGAATTGAAGTTCCACAGCTTTTTAAGCTTCCTGCTTCAATAGTATTTCCTGTGTCATATTTGGGTCTTCAAAGTTTAAGAGAGAAGAATAATGACGTTTGTGGATTTTGCAGCTCGTCGGTACCACAGCTGTTTTCAAGAATACAAAACTCTCTCTACCTTTCTTCTAAAGTCAGCATAAGAGGAATTTGATTAACACATACTTCGTGACCTTTTTCCTGTGGCTTACATATGAAATGTTTTGGGTTTTTTTCTGTTCTAGGACAGGACCTTGGAAAGGTACTATTCAGTCTGCTTCATCCTTTATTTAAATTTACTCTCAGGACCACAGAATGCAACAAAGCTGTAGTCCAAAGCAATTAGGTATGAATGATTCATCAACATAATTTAATGTAACCTGGCAAATTACACCAAAATTAGATTTTTCCTGATCTTAATTATGTTGGAAGCAGAGGCAGTATACACAAGGATCTTATTTCATGACATGGTGCTTATTTATAACAATTCTTTAGAGGAAAAAACCAATGGTTTCCTAGTAACAGCAGTGACTGATGTACATATAAGTAGATCGATCACAACTTCTAGGAGAAAACTTGCAGTACTCAGCTAAATGAAAAGAAAAAAGAAGAAAAAAAAAGAAAAAAAAAAGAGAGATCCAGGGACAAGCTTTAAAAGCTCTCTTACTGCTGCTTCTTGAGAGATGTCTCTCTCTGTTTTGGATTCAGCATTCAAATTCTTAACCAGAAGGCAGTGCCAAATCTTTTCCTTTTCTAAATGAAAAAAAAGGTCACACTTTTCTTTTCCAACACAAGAATTCAAAGGAGTTTCTCATCTGATATTCTTTGGTCAGAGCACTCATCTGTGATGTACAAGTTCTGTGTTAAAATTCCCCTCTGCCTGTGGGTAAGGTTCAACATTACACTTTCTGTAATGGAAAAAACAGCTGAAAATGTTCCCTTTCTCCTCTCTGCCTGTACTGCTCCTCACTGCCCCTCAGTTGTACCGTTGCGACTGAAAGGCTGCTTTGTAAACTGAAGCACTTTGGTCATCTGGTTTGTAAGAGCCCTGCAAATCATTGTGCTGGCGGGGCTGAGGAGCAGGAACAAGCAGCCAAGGGTAAGGGATGGCAGGGTGTTTCTCAGACTGGCTTTGGTGACAGGTAGTTTGTCTGGGGGATGATGACCTGTGAGCGATACACAACCAAATGAATGCTATCGCCACCAGACTACTCGCTTCTCTGACGCAGCATCACTTTTGAAACCCTGTGACTAAGCTTTTCCAATACAAGATCTAATATAAGTGTATATTTTTGCAGTACAATGATTAAAAATTAATAGAACCAGAGACTCCTGTGTTTCAGCTTCTGTTACAGGCCTTTTAAATACCTCATATTAGATGGTCATTAGGTAGAAAAAAGAAGCAGACTTTTGCAGCTGCACAGCAAGCTTTCATCTGGGATTTCTTAACCTCTGAACAGATAACTTTACAAACAAAATGATATTCTTCTAATGCAGTTTTACTTTTCTAGGTAATAACAAACTTCATTTTTGAAAATAAAATTTGGCATTTCCATTTGCAAGATTATAAGCACAAAATGGAAGTCATTAAATTAAAGCCAATTGGATATCTTTATTCATATTATGTTTTGTATATTTGTACTTGCGAGTGCTCTGAGACTTCACAAGGACAAGAGCTCTGTGCTTCCTATATATGTTTCTATAAATGTTATAGAAAAACACAGTTGTTCAAAAAGAATTTCAGTGAGTCAACCAGTGCAAGCTAAGACCAAATAAACTGAATCACTTGCTGCATTGTAAAGCAATCTTTTCTTTTTAGAAATATTCACTGGTAAATTTTGTTGTTCACAAGAAACAGAACAGTTTGGAAACCAGTGAAACAGAGACGATGAGGTTTTATCCACAAAGGATGGTGCAAGGAAGTGGAAAAAAACCAATTAGCTAACAGATGTTTCAGGAATAAAATGTTAGTAAGGAGGAGTTAGTTGTACGTTGTTT